TGTATATCATTTTAAAACCTGTTTTGGAATTCCTTTATTAAGGAAAAAAAATACATTTTCTTGGAACCCTAGAAAGTTGGCAGATGATCCAGCAATTGCTCTTTTTGGCATTTACCCAAAGGAGCTGAAAATGTACGTCCACACAAAAACCTGCACGAGCATGTTTATAGCAGTTTTATTCATAGTTGACAAAACTTGGAAGCAAGCATGACGTCCTTCAGCAGGTGAATGGATAAACAAGCTGTGGTCCATCTAGACAAGGAAATATGACTCAGCGCTAAAAAGAAGTGAGCCATCAAGCCATGGAGGAGCCTTAAATGCATATGACTAAGTGAAAGATGTCAGTCTGAAAAGGCCGCATACTGTATGCCTCCAACTATATGCTTTTCTGAGAAAGGCACAACCGCAGAGACAGTAAGATGAGCGGTTGTCAGGGATTCCGGGGAGGGAGGGATGAACGGGCAGAGCACGGAGGGTTTGGAGGGCAGCGAAATACTCTGTGATCCCATAATGATGGATACTTGTCATTGCACATTCGTCCAAACCCATGGAATGTAGCACGCTACAGTGGACCCTGATGTAAACTACAGATTTGGGTGATGATGACGTGTCAGTGTAGGTTCGTCAGTTAGAACAAATGGACCACCTGGTGGGGGATGGTGATGATGGCGGAGGCGGTGGGGAGGGGGCCAAGGGGTCCACGAGACTCTCTGTACCTGCCCCCAATTTTGCTGTGAATATAAAACTGCTCTAAGAAAATAAAGTCTCAAAAAAAAGATCAGCGAAGGCTGTGCTTCCTGCAGCCTCTGAGAGTCCACGGCTGGATGACCACGTAGTGTGGCTGTGGTGGAGAGGACTCCAACGCTGGATGAGCGGGTGGCCGGCTAATGCCCCTTCCTGGTCTCAGCCATGTGGCCTTGGAGAAGAGCTGATGGTGGAGACAGAAGACGACTGTGCAGATGTTGTCTCCGTCAAAGGATTCTTTGCTACGTCACCCAGAGTGACTTCAGGAATAAGAGGGCTGTGCCTTAGCCTGGCTGCAACGGATGGCAGCAAGTCTTTTGGGCTTCTTGTCCTGATGTGGAATATTTCTTTTATATCTTCCATTACGGAGATGCCCCAAACAAGGCAGGGTAGAACTGACTTGCTAACGCCAAACTACATTAATAGCCCGAATTAGAGCTGCTTTCAGCTTCCCAACATGCAAAGACATGAAAAAGAAAATTTGGTAAAAAGAGAGAAATGCAGTTGTGAACATCTGTTTTGGTTCACTCAAAAACCTCCCCCACATTCAATTTTCCCCTGAGGACCCAGCCTCCCTCCTTCCCCCGTCTGTCTGGTGGGGATGTGAGGCTGTTCCCCCCAGCCCCCTCCTGGTTCCGGAGCTGTTCACATCTCCCAGGACTTCCTTTCCCATCTGTTCCCTCTCCTGCTCATAGCTCTGAGTCTCGGATGAGCAGAGGCATCAGTCCTGGGTTTCTTGCTGTACCTGTTGACAAGGAGGCCCTCTCTCCAGGGGCCGCTGGGAGCATGGAAGCCGGCAGGGGGCAGGCCCAGAGCTTGTTGAAGCTGCTGGAGAATGGAACCAACCTAGACCAGCACTGCAGAGAGATGGGGAGACAAAAATCTCAGAACTTCATTTCAGCACCTGGTTCTACAGGCCCAGAAGCCAGATCTGTCCCTCATTCCTTTACTTGGGTGTTGAGCCAGTTTAATTGGTAATTAGAAGTCATTTCTTCACTATATTCAACAATCAGGAACATTTTGAGGAAATGTTACTAATAAAAAAGACTCCAAAAGATGAAAATGCATTTCGTAATATTTCTGTGCAAAAGACTTCAGAATCTATTTATACTCGACATCAACCATCTTGGTTATCTGGATTTTTTTAGTTCACAGCAGCTGCTAAGCGAGTTGGAAAGAAAAGCAGCTAGAGGCAGTTCAGGGAGGGTGAAGGGAGGATGGTTAGGAGGAGGCCTTTGAAAAGCAGTAAACACAGAAAAGTGAAAGGCACGACAGGTGGGGATACTCTTCCATCCCACAGGGCTGGAAAGTTCCTCAAAGCAGGCTGTGGGTACTTGCAAAGCTGCTGGTGGATGTACCGGAGATGCGCTGCAGGGGTAAACTGAGGGATCAGTGGAAGGGGGCCATCTTCATGATTCCTGAGCTTCAGATCCCTTTCCTTTCAGCACGAGCTTGCGAGAGTGGTAGTTAGTGATGTCAGAGCTGGTTTAACGTCAGGCTCTGCTGCCCAGAGCGTGAGCTCCGGGGAGCCGCTGCCCCCACTGCTGTGCCCCCACCCCAGGGCCCTGCATGAAGGGCTCATCAAATATTCAAGCTTTAAAGAAAAATCACTTAAATAACTTTTAGTTTTTTAAAAACTCTAACTGTTTGGAATGCCTTTTTTTTTTTGCTTAAGATAGCGCATAGTTGAGACATCAGAATGTGTCCTCTTTTTTTCCTTCTTCTTGGGAAAAAGACTGGTGTTGCAGCATTTCATTCAGGAACCGCTTTTCCCAGAAACTCCAAGCCCTGGTCCCAAGTCAAGACTCATGCTTAGAAACCTCATGTAGTCATGAAAGGTGTTATTTTTTTATTCAAGGATTGCTTGTAATGAGCGTAAGAGACAATAAGATTGGGGAGCCATTCCTCCCGCCTCCTGAAATTCTGGGCAATTTTCCCTTGCGTGAGGAATGGGAAATCTGACTTAGGAAAGCCTTAAAAAGCCCGCCAGGGCTTGCCTCAGCCTTTCTGCCCACCTTCAGGAGAAAGCTCCCGTACAGAGTGGTCCCTTCAGTGCCCTTCTCTGTCTGCGGGTTGGCTCTACACGCTCTGAGCAGCTTGGGGGTTCATCACGCCCCTGAGCCTCTTTTTCTGCAGCTCGGGTAACTTCTGCCATCCGGAGGCGACGCTGGAGGGGACGTTGTCTGTGGGGAGTCCTCGGCTCGCTCTGGGATAAGTGACACAGCTGACTGCAGCCAGCAATGAAATACCCTGCTTCCTCCTAAACAGACACTGGTGGAGCTGAACGATGCCCCGAAGGAGAGGGCACCATGGTCACTGTGTGCACACGTGGAAGGTGTGAATTCTCTTCCACTCTGTGCCACCTGACAGCTGCCTCCTGAGGTCCCCTGGTGTGGCTCACAGCATAAGTGGCTGGGCACCTTTCCCACTGAACTTACGTGTAACTGATGGCAGCTCCCTCGGCAAATGGGCCGGGCAGGGGAGCTTAGCTTCAGAGCCCTTGGGACTCACACAGTTCAGGTGTGGGGTCAGGGGGCACAGAGAGAAAAGTCCTTGAGACACTCGTGTTTCCTCTCTGCAATGAGAAGAGAGTTCCAGAGAGACAGTGAAGCAGAATTTAAAAACAAAACAGGCAGATTTACTTCCCAGAGTCCGTCTCCCTTCACGGATGGAAATGGCTGCTCCAGCCTCAAGGTGGTCCCTGTACTCTGTGCGGTAAAACCTCTTTGTTGGTAAAACATAACATAAAATACCGTTTTAACCATTTTTAAGTGTACAGCTCAGTGGCATTAAGTACATTCGCTTTGTTATGTAACCATCAGCACCATCCATCTCTTTCTCCATCTTCCCAGACTGAGGTTCTCTCCCCATCGCCCTTCCCCAGCCCCTGGCACCCACCATTCTACTTCCTGTCTCTGTGAATATGATTCCTCTAGGGACCTCATATAAGTGGAATTGCACCATATTTGTCCTTTTGTGACTGGCTTATTTCACTTAGCATAATGTCCTAAGGTTCATCCAGGTGTAGCATGAGTCAGAATTTCCTTCCTTTTTCAGGCTGAGTCATATTTCATTGTATGTACAAACTACAGTGAACTTTAATTTTTTAAAGCACTTTTAGGTTTACAGAAAAATGGAGCAGATAGTAGAGAGGGTTCTCATACACCACCCCCACCTCCAGTTCCCCCTATTATTAGCATCTTGCATCGGTGTGGGATATTTGTCACAATTGATAAGACAACATTGATACAGTATTAACGGAGGTCCATAGATTACATTAGGGTTCACTCTTTGTGTTGTTCATTCTACAGATTCTACCAAATGCATAACATCACAATCCCACCCTTACAGGATCACACAGAGTAACGTCACTGCCCTGAATCCCCCTGTGCTCCATCGACTCGTCTCTCTTCCCTGTTTCCTCTCAGCCCCTGGCAACTACTACTTTTCAGCATCTCCATAGCTTTGCTTTCTCCAGAATGTCACATAGTTGGAATCAACGGAGCCTTTTCAGCTTGCCTTCTTGTGGTAAACAAGACACATTTAAGGTTCTTACATGTCTATTTGTGACTTGATAACTCATTTGTTTTTATCGCTGAGTAATATTCCATTGTCTGGATGTACCGCACCGTGTTTATCCACAGGATCCATTCTTTTAGGCAACTTTGGCCTCAGTTGGGTTATTAGATGGAGAGGGTCACAGGAGTGGAAGCAGAGACCAACTAAGAGGCCTTCATAGTTGTCCAGGCAAGAGATGACCACGGCTTGTACTGGGAGGTCACAGGGGAGGTAGAAAAAGTGGACAGATCCCAAAGGTATCAAGAGGGAGGCTTTAATGAATGAGTCTTGAATTTAACTGTCCCTTCCGGAAGCAAGAGGACCTCAACTCTCATGCCCACAAATCATGAACATCTTCTCAAAGCAGAAGCTTCTGTCCTGGCACTTGGACAATCGCAACTGACACCAAGCCACCCACGGCAAGGACAGGAAGCCTCAAGGATGCTGTGCCGGAAAGAATACAGCTGTTGGGTTGGCCTGGGTTCCAGGCCAGCTCTGCCACTGTCTCCGTGACCTTCCGTCAATCCTGTCCACATTATGGTTCTTAATCCTGGTTGCAATTAGAATTTGGAGCTTTTGAAAAATTCTGATGTCAGACATATTCCGACCCCGCCCTCACCCCCCCCCCCACCCCAGAATTCTGCTTTTGTCACCAGGTGACTCTTTCAAGAGCAGTTCTGGAGAAAAATGTGAGTCCACAGAACACTGCAATAAGAGTTGTTAGGACTCGGGGAACAAGGAAGGAACTGACTTTATGTTGGTCGGGGGTGGATTGAGGAAAAGGACTTTCTGAATTGAAGTAGAATTCTACGGTACTTTTCCCTTGGACTCTTGTATTGCTAAGTAATAGCAACCAGCGGAGTCAGCTCAAGCAAATTTAATCATAAGGCTGTATTTGGGGGAAACCCAGGGCAGGTGGGCAGCCAGCTTTGGGGATCAGATGAAGGGATTGGCCAAGTATGTCTCTCTTGTTTGCTCGCTCTCTGTGCACAAGGCAGGGGACGGCTGCCCTAAGAGTGGTTGGTCAGCAACGACGCATTCCTCAGTTACTATCCTGAGCAGCCACCAGCTGGGGGGCCCTGACCCCTGATTCTGAACAGTGCTGGAATGAAAGTGATTTGCCCACATCTGCCCTGGGGTTGATAGCAGGATAGGCAGATAATAAAAGTTAAATACATAGGAGGTCAGGTGGCAATAAGTCCAATTGAGGGAAAATAAGAGAAAGAAGGAGAATAAGGCCCTCAGTGATGGGTGGGAGTGGTGTTGAATTTTAAACACAACAGTCAGGGAAAACAATATTTTTTAGTCTAAGTATGTCCTATGCAATATTGAGGGCATACTTATTCTGAAAATAATTCACGGTTAATCTGAAATTCAAATGTAATTGGGTCCTGTACTTTTACTGCTAACCTTGGCAACCCTTTTAATTTTAATCTCCTTGGTCTGGGCCTCACTGAGAACTCTGAGTAAAGATCTGAGAGGCAAATGAAGGAGTCAAGTGGGTGTCTGGGTGAGGAGCATTTGTGAGGAATGCAAAGTCCCTGGGGCAGACTCATGCAGCGTGTTTGAGGAATAGCAAGGAGGCCAGCCGATGGGAGTGAGTTGGAGGTAAAGTCAGAGAGGCCACTCTCAGGGCCTTGGCCTTGACTCTGGTGAGCTGGGGGCTAGTGGAGGGTGTGAGGAGAGCAGGGACACGCCTGACTTTTATGACCCCATTGGGCTGCTGGTTGAGAGTCGAAGCAGCTGGAGCAAGGGCCGCAGCACAGAACTCCTGAAGAGTCTACTGCAGCGACCCAAGACACAGAGGGTGGGGGCCAGGACCTGGGTGTCAGCAGATACAATGCTGAGACATAGCCAGAGCCCACATGCATTTTGATGGTAACATCCAGGACCAGCTACATAATTTGCAAGGCCTAGTGCAAAACAAAAATGCTGGGCCCCATGTTCAAGACAATGAAGAATTTCAAGATGGCACCCTCAAAGCATGAAACCCCTTCTAAGCGAGAGGCTGTTTGTGGCTGCACAGGCCACAGGGCCATGAAGCTGGACCTGGTCGAGGACTGTAGAGTGTGAAAGAGGTTTCTGCCAGATGAATTGCATTTATGGAGTTGGTGTTGACTGAGACAGAGAGCCTGATGGAGCAGGTTTGGTGCGGCGACGCAGATGAGAGACTGGGGAAAAAAGGGGAAAACCCCCTTCTGGCCTTTCTACAGTCCAGATAATTGGAAGTGAGGCATCCCAAAGTGCAGTAATTTTAGTTTTAGTGCCATTCAGCTTCATTTTCCTCATAAATGTCTTTCAAATTGGAGACAAGATATGAGCGTGGGGTGGGAGATGTGTACACAACCCAGAGAATGTTGTTGAAGGAGTGTGTGTGCTGGTTTTCTGGACACGAGGCAATTTTTAAAAATAATATTTTAAAACACCCTAATAACTAGAATACTATAAACTGATATGAACAATTAAAATTTATAGGTTCAAATAATGCCTGAACTAAAAGGGCAATTTTTCCAAAATAAACTTTATGATTTATAGTAAGCTTTTATGTAAAAAAGTATGCAAATTCCTTTGCATATAAAAATAATTTTAAGGTGAAGTATTAGTTTATAGGAAGCTAGTAATTTTTGTATTTTTTTGGTTTCATTTACATTTTTGTCTTATTTTTAATGCTCTGTTTTAGTAGATTATCTTAGGTTTTCCTACAAATAATTATATGGTCTGAAAATAAGAATAATTTTGCTTTTTCTTAGCCAATATTTATATCTCTTATTTTGTTTCACAGGAAAGTATAAATAGGAAAAATATTTCCTTCACAATAGCAACACAACTCATGAAATACACAGAAATAAGAGAGTAAATGAGTGTATGAATTATATGAAGAAAACTATGGAACTCTACCAAGGAGTCTTAATGCCTGGTGAGATGTCCATTTTCATGGGGTGATTCAACACCAGGAAGAAGCCTTTTCTCCCCACATCAATCTACAGAGTCAGAGAAACTCTAGTAGGATTCTAATAGGATATTTATTGAATTGTGACAAAGAATTTCAAAAGTTCATTGGGTATGAAATAAAAATGAGATAATCTCAGAAAATTTTAAAGAAGAATAATTGTTAGGAGGGTCAGCCTGACTAGCCACTCCAATAAGAAGTAAGAGTAACTTAAACAGAATGGTACTGATGTGAGCATGGGCAAGACCAGGAGAAGAGCACGGTCGTGACGCAACCCCAAGCACACACTGGAAATGGAACAGGACAGAGACGGCATCACTCGGCAGAAGAGGTAGGTGCTTATTCAGTTATCAACTTACAGAATTAAAAGCTGGCTCCTCACCTCACCCACTTCAAGGACAAATCAGATTAATTACATTTTCGATTATTAGGAATGAAGCTGTTGGTATAGAAAAAGCAGTGAGCAAGACTTTTCTGAACAAGTCAAGAAATCTAGAATCCTGTGGGTAAAACAATGCGGAAATAACCCAACCGGAAGCCCCATGACAAGGGAGCCCAAGGGGAGCGTCTGAGAGGTCAGACCCTGGTAGACCGGGGCAGAGGATGGGTCAGGTGATGGGGAGGGGGCACGAGAATGGCCAGCCCACTGGACAGGCTTGTATTTCAGGGGCAGTGGGGTTGGGCTGAGGACCTGCTCACACCTTCATATCGCCATGTGCAATACTCACCTTCCGTCGTGTAGGAAACTTGGGAGCGCATCTTCCTCACCTGAAAGATGGAGGCAGCTATTCCTGCTTTGTTCATCGTGCTGGTCTTTTCAGTATTGTTTGAGTTAATGGATGTGAAAACTCTATACACACTGTAAAGGACTGTGGCTCCCATTGTCCTCATGGAGGGACCATCTTCACCTGGATTCAAGTCAGTCAGAGACAGAGATTAATAAATTGCACCACCCACTGATTTTACATTTCAACTTTCTTACATGTGTCTTAACGAGTTGATTTAACTTTGAAAATTTAAACTTATTTGCTACAAGTAAATATATACACGTGTATTACACACACCAGGGAAGGAAGAGCTTTTTCAATCATGTCTGGCCCGTTTCCTGGGAGCGATCTTGGTTTCCCTACGTAGGCTGACTCTGCATCCTTAACCACCACTTCTCCAGCCCCAGGGAAGCCGCACTGAAATCAGCCCAGCACACGTGGAATGATTTCTGTGCTTGGCCCCGAGATGATGCGGTGTGGGAGGGCAGAGTTAGGAAACATCTCTGTCATAAATAAGTGTGTGGTCTGTGTGCAGACACCAAACCTACTGTGAAATATTAAGCAAGGCATGTCTCTTTCTACACTTTCTTGTACGTGTTGCCCTCTTCCAACCCAACCAGCTAGGACACTGGCTTACTGCCCCAAAGTGTAACAGGTACAGAAATAAATCAAATAGAAAGCAGACAAATCAAGGCCCAGCTCAGCTTTGGAGCCTCCTGGTATCACTGCCTGTGTGGTCAGCTGCCACATGGTACCAGGGATTTGTCTGTGTGACCAACAGTGTACAGCAGAAGTGACGGGCGTCCTGGCCGAGATTAGCTTATTCAAGATGTCGATCTCAGTTGCTTTCTGGCTCTCCCATCACTCGTTCTGGAGAGGCCGCTGCCATGACACCAGAGCAGGCTTATGAAGAGGCCCAGATTGTGAGCGACTGAGGCCTCCTGCCAACAGCCACGTGAGTGAGATCAGAAGCGAGTCCTCTGGCCCCAGTGAAGCCTTCCAATGACAGCAGCCCAACCAGCAGCCTGCAAGAGATTCTCTGCCAGAACCTCCCAGACAAGCTGCTCCCAGATTCTTGACCTGACAAACTGTGTTGTTTCGAGTTAAGTTTTGGGGTAATGTATTATACAGTGATAGATAAATAATATGGTCACATCAATAAATCTGCCAACTTCCTCTGATTGTTCATAAAAATTCAGCTTTCATCTTATTCGTTCCTTTATGGGCATACTTCTATCACTGAATTTGCATTATCAAATGTTGACTTGATCATCTCCCCGCATTCACTGTGGGATCTACGAGGGCAGAGGTCAATGCTTTATTTTCGTTTCTGAATCAGCCAGCTCTTTGGCACTCCATATGTAGTTCTTGAGTGAAATAAATGGAAAAGAATGTGAGTGTAGAGAAAGAACCACCGAGAGTGTCAGGCACCGTGAGTTGCTGGAGTGGACTGTGTGTCCTTTCAAACTCTGCTTAGAGCAGACTAGGCCCTGGATTTAAAACAAGATTGAAAGGCATTTACAGTATTCTGAAAATCCCACTCTCTTACTTGGAAGGTAAAGAGTAGCTTGTTCCGACATAACGTGGTGGAGTGGCGCAGATCCTTTAGGTTCACTTCCAGAGGAAGGGAGATAACGCCACGCTCAGTGGTTACAATTCCCCATTTTAAGAGTTTGCATAGCAAGCAAATAAAATTCAGTCCTTTGGAAGGACGTCCTCCAGAGCAAAGAGCAGAAGCCGTTTTGTCCCCACAATTACAGCTACAATGAGAAATGGGGTTTGGTTTTTTACAAAAGGAACTCCATTGTGGTCGGGGTCATGAAGGAAGTGGCCGTGAGCAGTCTGCAATCACCGGATTATTTGTGAACCGAGGGTCGCTATACCTTTGTTGTGAAAACAGTCTTTTCTACCCCTGAACATAAAATCCTCTTCACCCCGCCCCGTGTTCCAGCGTGATTCCACAGGCGCCTTTGTCCGGTGGAGAGGAGGCACGTTGATTTAACAGGCCAGAGACCAGGTGCATAATTCAGCCTTTATTCTGTCCATTTATTGCTACTTTTACAGCTGTCACCACACTTAGAAATCGTAAAAGGAGAAAGAGCTCTCTCGGTCTCCTAGTCACTATCTGAGAAAGGTTTTGTGAGTATTGGAGCTGCAGTTTTCTCCTTGAACCGTTTCCAGACATCCTGGAATGCAGAGTCCACCAGCTGCGTTCGCAGACGATGGGGAGATGAGGAAAGCGGGGCTAACTCTTTGGGTTTCTGGGACGACCTGAACAAATTCTGGAAGAAAAATAAGCTAAAGGAAACAGCTATGAGATTTGGATCACAGCAGCGGGCGGCGTGGGGCCGAGTGTTGTCTGGGCTCCCTCACCTGCGCATGCGTGCCTGGGGCGGTCCAGGGCATCCAGAAGCCCGAGAGGGCAGCGGGGCCGCGACCTGGGCTCAGATTGGGGGCCCCTGGATGCCCAGTGGGAGGCTGGTGTGCCCTTTGGTTCCTGGAACCCAGTTCTGTGACATCGGTGTAAAGATTGAACCTTGTCAGTAAATTATTACCAAACGAAAACATACCCGTGGACATTTCAATAAAGCACAGTAGGGAGTTGCAGAGTTCTTCCAAGTTTGGAATCGCTGGTTTTGAATACTGCTGCAGCATTGCAAAGCCAATATCCACAGTCTTACATATAGACACTAAGTGTAAAGACCATTGCATTCAATGGAAAATAAAGCTATTTTCATATGATGCTCCCAACGACTCAATTATCAACAAGAGATCATTTAAAATTGTGTTTCTTTTAGCAGAAGATAGAGCATACATCATGTTTTGAATTGTGAACAAATCAGGAAGCCACTTTCAGTTTCTTGTAAGATCTCCCTAAGTTATGAATGTCTGAGGAAATGTTAAAATGCCTTTCTATAAATTCACGTTTAAAATTAAATTCAGATATACACAAACTGATTTGTATAGAGTTAAATATTTTTAGAAAAATTGTTCTGCAAGAATGATCAGCTCATGATGTACTAAAACAGGTCTATCACCATAATTTTCCAGAGATTTGTCCCAAATTTGTCCCAATCTAGAAAATAGTTTTCCCAACTTTATCAAAATACAATTGCCATATAGCATTACTTAAGTTTAAGGTGTACAATGTAATGATTTGATGCATGAATACATTGCAAAATGATCACCACATTAAGGTTAGTTAACACATCCATCATCTCAAATAACTGGGTGTTTTTGTAGTAAGAACATGTAAGATCTACTGTCTTAGCAACTTTCAAGAATGTAATACAGTACGATTAACTATATTCATCATTTTTTTTTCCTACTTCTTCTCCCCAAAGCCCCACCCCAGTACATAGCTGTGTATTTTTAGTTGTGGGTCCCTCTAGTTGTGGCATGTGGGACACCGCCTCAGCATGGCCTGATGAGTGGTGCCATGTCCTCGCCCAGGATCCGAACTGGGGAAACCCTGAGCCGGCCAAGCGGAGTGCCGAACTTAACCACCCGGCTGTGGGGCCAGCCCCACTATATTCATCATTCTTAACAGCTCCGGTAACAGTTGCATCGGCAGAAAGATCCTTCTCAAAATGAAAATTTATCAAAAATCATTTGTATTTGCCAAGAGCAATTAATATTGCTTTCAGTTATGTCAGTTGAAAATGAAATTGCTAAGAGTATAAATTTTGATTATCTAATAAATGAATTTGCAGAAAAGTGATCCAGAAAAATCTGATGATCAATAAAGATATCATATTATAAAGTAGTATTATTTATTGTATAAAATTATGATACTTAACATATCTTTTATAGGTAATAACGTATGTTTAAAGGAAAAGGCTTTGTATTTTAGTAACTTTGACTTCACTTTTCTTCCTCTTTCTGTACAAGGAGTTGCACATTTGCATTTTTCTCTGGGCCTCACCGATTATGTAGCTGGCCCTATGACTATCTAACACGTGCTGGGTAGAGAAGATGTGCAATAAAATTAGCATCGTAAATACTTACAGTCATAGGATGTTCCAGGTGATGTGTCGTGAAAACTAGAGCAAGATAAGCAGATTGTGGAATGCACAGGTGTGGCAGGGTGCAACCTTGACAGAATAAACCACATGGAAAACTTATGAGACCATTGACTTATTTTATTGCTGATTCATATATATTTGGGTGTTTAGTAGACAAAGGGGAAACAATTGTTGATTGTTATATTATAGGCAATTGTTACTGCTTATCAATAACAAAGTTTGACTGCTCGACAATATTTACTAAAACATGGAGAAACGCTAGATTTGTTCAAAACAATGATTTTTAACAGATGAGGAAACTGAGGCACATTAAGAGAAGGAAAGATCTGGTGACAGAGTGGGCACATTCCTAACAACAAGGAGGTCAGTGTTTGCTGAGGGCCGACAGGGTCACGCACAGGACAAATACTTTATCCTCACAATTACATTTAGTTTACACTCTCCCTTTCAGTAACTATTATTGTCCCGATTTTATGAAGGAGAACATGGATGCTCCCATGTTAGGTAGTTAGCCTGAAGTTATTGAGTTGATAAATGGCAGGTGGGGGATTTGAACACAGATCCACCTGACTCCAAAGCCCTCGGTTTTAGCAATTATTCTGTGATGATATGAGCACTTGTCACTCAGCCCTTAACTCTCACCCCCAGAATACGCACTCTTGGGGGCTGGCTTGGTGGTATAGCGGTTAGGTTTGTACACTCCACTTCAGTGGCCTGGAGTTTGCAGGTTCAGATCCTGGGTACGGACCTACACACCGCTCATCAAGACATGCTGTGGCAGCATCCCACATACAAAAAAGAGGAAGATTGGCACCAATATTAGCTCAGGGACAATCTTCCTCAAGCAAAACAAGGAAGAGTGGCAAGAGATGCTAGCTCAAAGCCAATCTTCCTCACCAAAAAAAAAAAAAAAAAAAAAAAGTGTGCTGTCTTGGAAATCAAGAATCATCACAGATGTTGAATGGTGGCTGGACCTGGGCTTCCAAAACTCAACAACAGGCTCTTCCTGCATGAAGGGGGCATCTCTGGTGTGTATGGGTGGTGACTGTTGACCACAGCAAGACTTCAGAATCGTCTGAGAGAACCACACCAGTGCCCTGCCTCAGTTCCCCAAGGGAGTGTCAGAATGTCCATCCTTCTGTGGTAGAATCCTTGGCCTTGAACCAAACCTCCCCGCTTCCTTCCTTCTGCTCCTCCATCCTTCGTCCTACCTTTCATTTGCAGTAGACGTACCGGGGGAGGACAAGGGACTGTGTCTATCCTGGGGTACAAATTCATGGACAGGCTTATCACCAAATCCATCACATTTCTCTCTCCCGTTACCTCTGAAATTCTACACATCACACTAAGAATTTATACCTGAACCAAACCCTGTCTCTTTCCCTCAGGGTGGCAGAATCAAGCCAGTACCTCGTTATGTCTGGGGACAGTTTATGGCAAAACTTTGTTGACAAAAGGAAATCATATCTAGATCAATTTATATAAATTTATTTGTCTACAAAATAAGGATAAATTATAGTACCTGCCTCCTAGAGTTTTCTTTTCTTTTTTTTTTTTGGATTGAAGAGTTATTGCAGGTGAAATGATGGTTGCCCCATGTCCAGCGAATTCATGAATGACAATTATGTATTATTGGCCTGGCCATGCAGACAGTTATGTCAGCTCTGTGACCCCCCATGTGTGCTGAGCCAGTTGCTAAGACTGTTGCTTTCTTCACATGTTTGTGTCTATAGTGGGACAAATTGTTTAATGTGGAGATTGTCTTTAGCTTAAAGTCAGCTTGTTTCCATAGTTACAAAATAAAGGAAGATACCAGCTAAGGATTTTCTTTGAACTATTTTTACATATACAAATTGTAGCATCCTATATTTTTTCAAATGTAATATATATTTACTTTCTCTTTCATCTAGGGGGGAAAAGTGGTTGTTTTGTATTTGTGGCATTTATATCATCTGTTATATAAAGCTTTTCATTTCAACAATTATGGATGAATAGAATCTTTCTTCTACGGGTTCAAATCACTTTAGTTTTGGGAG